GCATTTTCATGTGGGATGCAGAAAAGGAGGCATCTGATCCCCCCTTCTCCTGCTCTGCCTCCTTCCAACACACACCAGCCCCAAGCCCAGCTGCCGGGGCAGGGAGGGTTGGGGTTTTCTTCCCCCCTATCCCCTTCCAAAGGCCATCTGGGCTTCCAACCTGCCTGTGCATCACCCTGATTGCAAGTAATTGCTACCTGGTCGCCCTGGACCAGGAGCAGAGCCCGGGTGGGAACAGAGCACAGTGCCCTTTTTTACTTCCAGGACACCCTGGCAGGGTGGGCTGGGGTCAGAGGGAGCTGGGGGAGGCCCGGGGGGGCAGTGGCTTCCTTAACTCCTGCTGTGCTGAGCACTGCCAGGCAGTGCCATCAGGCTGTGGGCAGGGACTGACTGGGACAAGGGCACACATGGATGTCCCCTGTTGGGGTGCATGGCGTGGATGGCTCATGTGGATGTCCCCAGGCCTCCAGCACATGTGCAGGGGGGACCAGCATGGACAGGGGGAAGGCAGAGTGCTGGGAAATCCTCCCCTCCACCTGCCCTGGGTGTCTGTCGCCATCCCATCAATATGGCACCAGCCCCTGGGCTCATCCTGGTGCTCGAGGCGGTGGGTGGGCACTGGCTGTCCCTCAGCAGCCCTGTTATCTTTCCAAGCAGGCTGCTGGGGGTATGTGGCCATGGCAGGGAATTGGATCCCAGCTGACGCTGTCCTCAGCAAGCTGTTGGCTGAATTACTGGGTTCAAGGGCTTTTTTTCATTTCTCTCTCTCCTTTTTTTTTTTTTTTTTTTTTGCAATGCTAATAGCTCTGCATTGCACTGGCTACTGATCCCTCATTAATCTGGGCAGCACTTCACAGCCAGACGGAGTGACTTTTGGCAGGTGCACAAAGGCAGGCAGCGACACACAGACCCCCCCAGCCAAAAAAATTACCATGCGCAGCCTTCCTCCAACTTTTGTCTCTGTGTGGCGGGGACGCGGATTAAGGAATTTCTCCCTCTGCCTTTGATCCTGCGTGTCCATCCGTCCCCCCACAACGTCCCTAGTGTCTCCCCGCCAGCTCTCCCTGTCTGTGTCCAGTTGGACCCAGTCCCAGTGTGCTTCCCCATCTGCTGCTGCAGTTCTGTGCTGAGCCACAGGCACCCACCCAGGGACTATTTCACTCACCATGGCAAATGTTGGATGTGTCCCCCAGCTGCCCAGTTCAGAAGTGCTGCATACAGATGTCCTATGTGTGGGGAGAGATGGATGCTGTCGTCTATGCCTTCTCTTTTTGTCTGCTGTCTAAAGAAGAGCTTAGGGCAGCATCCTCCCAGGTCCTACAGGGAAGGTCCTCCAGCCTGGGTCCAGGAGGAACATTCCCCCTGCCCCAGGCAAGTCACGGCCTTGACCCCTTTGTGCCTGTGATGCCCCATCTGCAAACACTCAGCTGCAAGCTGGCTGCAGCTGGGGAGAGGCAGGAATTGCTCCCAAGGGGAGCATTCAGCCAGGAGCTATCTTCAGGCTGGAGAAAATGCTCTGGATGGAGCAGCAGCCTGGCCAGGCTAGCAGGACCTCAGCAGGGCTGTCCGGCCCACAGCCTCCTTGCTGTGGGACTCAGTGAGCAGCCAGGAGGGCTCGGAGGGTGCCGAAAGACCTAGAGGGACCCTTACACCAGCCAGATAACCCCAGCATCCTTCTGAGCCCTGTGCTCATTCCCTGCTTCCAAGGTACCCCCAGCCCAGCACAGACCAAGCCAGGAGAAACAGGCTTGCAGGGGCTGGCACCTCACCCAGCAGGCTTTCATTAATTGCCATTAGGAATTAATTGAGCTTGATCACCTTGGCATTGCTGTCCAAATTGGTGGATGCCACCAAACAGCTCTGGACTGATCCCACCCAGAGATGTCTCCACTGTGTGGCCTGCACGGTGCTGCACATGCATCCCGTCCTGCTGTGCCTGCAAGCAGCACACCTGTGAGCAGCAGCCGGAGCCGGTGGCAGAGGTGGGGGACAGCGTGAATCCCGGGGTCTGGGTGGCAGGGACAGCGTGAATCCCAGGGTCTGGGTGGCAGGGACAGCCTCACCGTGCTTCCAGGCTGCAGGGGGTTGCCCTGCCAAGCACAGTGCTTTGCACAGGCCAGGTCATTCACAGTCTGTTGGGTCTCCTGTCCTGCCTACCTGTCCCTTGGTGCTTGGGCTATGAAGGTGTGTCCCTATGAGAAGAGGATGCAGGAGGTGTCTCCTCAGTTCTGCTGTGTGCAGTGGTGGGTGCCAAGAGTCCGACCCTTCCAGGGACCCTGATCCATCTTGGGTTTTGATCCTGGGCTGAGGAGGGCTGGAGCTTAGTGGGGTTGGGGGGATGAGTCTCAGCCAAGACCCCCGTGGGTTGGAGAATGCACAGCTGTGTCCTGCAGGAGAGGCCAGCATCCTCCTCATCTTTTCTCCATCGTCTCTTCTGCCCAGACCTCACAGGATTTCAATTTTCACCTGTCCCATAGGTGAAATGGGCCAAAACCCTTTTCCTGCAGGACGAGCTGTGCCTAGCCCCAGGACAGGGACAGCCATCCCCCCGGCACAGACTGTGCCAGGGACCTGTGAGCTGCTAAACAGGACTGCTCTAAGCCTGACCCCATTATCTGGACCAGAAGCAGCACATGTGACCCCAGGGCTGGCTCTCAGCCTCTTCGGCATGCTGGAAGCTTGGGGAGACCCATCACAGATCTCCACCAAGGTTGTTGGGCTCATCTGCCCCCAATGCCAGGCTCCCTCCAGCCAGGCTCTGACATCGGACCCCCTTGGTGGGCAGCCAAGAAGCTGCCCCCATGACAACGGGTCAGACCCAATGGTGAGACCCATGGTGTGGTGGGAAGGTGTCCCCTAGAAAGTAGGGATGGACTTGGGCACCACTTGCCCCAGTGCTTTGGCTAATGGCAGGATAGGTCTCGGGCACACCTCAGCTTGGCACAAACCCTGCGGTGAAACCACTGGCATCCCCTGCTTGCATCGCCCTGGCGCCGTGGGTGTCAGCCCTGAGTCAGTGGTGCAAGGAGAGGCAGGACTCTGTCTCCCCCCACCCAGCCCCAAACTCTGCAGCGGTGAGACGGTTGCAGGGCTTTCTCCATGCTGCTCCCCTACCAAGGTTTGGTAGCAGCTCTGTGCCTTGCAAGTGGCTGGAGGCCCTTTGCTCCCCAACAGCTGGGCTGGGGGTCAGCCAGGCCTGCCTCCAGATGTGCTCCAGGTCTGGGGCTCCTGTGGGCTCAGGCTGGGTGGTGTGAGCAGCTGGGAGGGCAGAGCCCAAGGGCCCTACTGTGCCTGGCGGCAGGCTGGATGTGGGAATAGGGAAGGAAAGGCTCTGGACCAAGAAAGCAAAAATGCCCCCCTCCCTGGTAGGGATCCCCCAGAATGGCTGTAAAAGCCGGGGTGGGCTGCAGTTTGCAAGCCAAAGGGATTGAATCTATCCTGGGGTGTTGCATGTGCTGTACTGGGAGGACTGGAAAAGGGCTGGCTCTCTCTCAGGGTGTGTTCCTGCTTTTCAGGTACCCCTGCAAGCAGGTGGGGTGATGAGATTAACCACACCAGCCTCTGACCAGGCTGTCACACGCACCCCTGGTGTGCACACCATCCCTGCATGTGTAAAGCCGCAGTGCCAGAGCAGCCTTGTCCCGCAGGTGCATTGGCCTGGGTACCGCTAGGCACCCTGATGGTGCAGCTTTTCTCTCATTGGGCTTCAAGATGTGAAGCTCCATCTTGCTCCTATCATTGAACCAGGTTCTTAATAACTCAGCTGTTGGTGCTCCCCAGGGCAATGAAATCCTGTGCCTGACCTTCTCCTAGGTGGCTGGGGAGATGCAGAGAACCCCACATGGGTTGCACCGTGATTTTCCCCCCACCCATGAAGTGCTGATTGTTCTGCTCAAGCATGAACCCCTGGCTGGGCACTGGTGCTTGCGGATGAGCTGCATCAGACCCACACCATCCCTCATCCCCCCAGCATCTTTATTATCAACATGTGTCTGGAGAGAAGGTGGTTTGTGTCAGCCAGGGCACGCGGGAAGGACGAGGGATGCCCCGCATCTCCCCCGTGCCATGCACAGGCAGTGTAGCGGGGAAATGAAGCTGGCAGTGTCCTCAGCCTTAGAGAATGGGTGGATGGTGATCTCCCGTACAGCTTCTGTGGGATGCTCCTGCCGTGGTCCCCTCTGTGCCTGCTGGACCCTGAGGCTAAGCCTGGCTCCATCCCCAGAAGGTCACTTGGGTGCTGAGCCCTCCTCCTCTGTCACCCGCGTGTGTTTGCTCACTGGTGGCCGTGCGATGGGGGTGTGTTTCTACTGGGCACCTGCATCTACCTGTCCTTGAGCCAAGCTCCAGATCAGAGATCCCCAGAAGGTGTGGACACAGTCTGGGGTTAAACCATTGCACCAGCAGCCGCATCCCCAGGAGGATGGCAGGACCTCCCATGGCCCAGGCAGCGGTGACAACAGGACAGAGGGAATTTTTCTAGGAAAGACGGCTGGACACAAATCCTTGTCCAAGGGCCCAGCCAGAGGGCTGCAAGCCAAGGTGGTGGAATGCCAGTGGGTGCAGGAACAGGGTGGCCAGAGGCGTGCTGGTGGGGGAAACCTCCTCCCAGCACTGGCAATGATGCCCAGAAAGCGTGTGCACATATGCCAGCCGCTGCCCTGGATGTCCAGCTCCCAGCCACCCTAACATGTCCGAGCGGAGCCTGCCCGCACATCTGCTAGTTTTTGGTGACCTCTAGAGGAAGCCGCTCCTCTCCAGCGCCGTGAGTTTGAAAGCAGGATGGGGTCTCTCCAGACCTTTGGCTTAGCTGCAGCTGGAGCGTTGTCCCCCTGCATCCCTGTCCTGGGCTCATGCCTCTGCCCAAAACCCTGTAGCACTTTCCGAAGTGCTGCGGAAGTCTTGCTATCATCCTGTAGCCGAGCTAATCACGCTGATAGTCTTACACCTCCCTGTGCCATGGGTTTCTCTGACCGCCCTCCCCTCCCCACCACTGCCCGCAGGTCGAGCTGTCGGATGGGACATCGCACACCATCACGGATGCCTATGCCGGCAAGGAGTACATCATCCAGGTGGCGACCAAAGACAACGACATCGGCACGTGGAGCGACTGGAGCGTGGCTGTCCATGCCACCCCCTGGACAGAGGAGCCCAAGCATCTCACCACGGAGGCCCAGGTTGCAGGTGAGAGCCCCGCCCAGTACAAACAGGGAGTCATGGCTGAGGGTCCCCCCTGTCTGGCTCCTGCAAGTTTGGTCCCCAGCCAAGGAGATACCCCCAGCACCAAAGGGGGCTGCAGCCTTTCACCCTACACTTTGCCCCCCACCCATGGCCCTGGCAGCAGGTGCAACCGTGGCCTGAGGGGTGCTGACTCAGCTCACCTGGCTCCAGCATCCTCCTTGCCAGGATGCTTGGGGTGTGACAACGAAGCTGGGGAATCTTTTATTACTGTTGTTGTTATTATTATTATTTTATATA